TGCTCGCGGAGCCGGGAAAATGTTAACCGGGCTCAAGCGTGAAGGAACGTTAACTACTGACTAGCGCTGCTGTTTCCCCTCACAAAACCTATCCAACATGATATCAATCGCCTCTTTCCTTAAGAAGAAACTTCTGTCGGGCAGCCTGCCTGAACGAACATTGTCCACGATGTCGATAACGCAGTCTCCCCCCGAACGGCATAACCGGCATGGCGAACAATTGGTACCGAAGCCATATCAATTTTTTATCCAAGGTTCAAAAAAACATCAAAAAGCCATCACAAAGCCACCATTTCGATCTCAACAATGAGGCGCTCCCCCCAAGCTAAAGCTTAGGATTTAGAATCCAGCAGCATTGTTGCGGCTTACGCGAAGCCTCCACAACGCCTCGGCACCTTCGGTGCGGGCGGGTTTCAGTTGGGACTTCATCTGGTACCCATGAGGAAACTAATGTTGACAATGACATCATGCTCTAGGACCTGGTGACCTGGATCAAATCAAATATTTCGGGCGAAAAGCAAGCTAGCTTGACATCCAAGTCTTGGATGGTTGCTTGCTACATGGCACACAAGGCATATTTGACAAGGTTTTTTGCAGCGAGACTGCTGAGCACTGTGTATAGTAAGGGCCGCTGTTTGGGGCCACGCCTGCACCGGAATGGTTGGATTGTCGTGACTTTGAGGTAGGTTGGATCGTCGCCCCTCATGTAGGTAGGTGTCCCAGAAGGAATCAGGCACTATATAAGCCCTGAGGTATTCGGGCATCCTGTCCTTTGCCGTGCTCATGGCGACTCTCACCTGGACGTCTCTTGGCCCTCTCTTCATGGCTAGGTTTCGGTTTGGGCGACTTTGCGTTGTGAGTGACTCACACTTAGTCCAGCTGCCAGCTGCTGAGTTGAGAAGATTCCACCTGCAGTTTTGGTCTTTTCCGGTTGCAAGCTGCAGGGCGATTCGCTACCCAGGTGGTGGATGGAGTGGAGCACCGGCATCGCTGAGACCCCGAATGAAAGCACCCTGCCTCGACTCGCTGGGGTGATCTTCGCAGATGCTGGGACCCAAATGGGACCCGACTTGACGGAATCGTCAGGGGACCTAGGAACAAGAATGCTACTAACCGCTACTAGGAGCAAGGACGCTACTAGGAACAAAGGGCATCGCTACTAATAACAAAGGGCATCGCTACTAGGGGCTTTGCTTGCCGAATCCCAAACACACCTAGAATGAGGTTCAGGCTGTATCAGGGATACACAAATCTGACCATCTTGGGAGCTTTGCAAGGCAAGCAGCTCGACAGAGACGCTGTCACACCAGACTCTCTAGACTCCCCATGACTCCCCCACCTTTCTGTTTTTGCACCCACATGACATTTGGAACTGCTTCTGCCTTTCTGATTTGATTTGCCCACCAAGGAGATTTTATGCATTTTGGTGGTGGCCTGTGCCGCCCCCAGATCGTGCCAGTTCGCCCTGCACTGAATCTCGGGATAGACCGAACAGCGTGGTCTCAGAGCCCAAAGGTGAGTTCCACTTGGCCCAGCAGCGTTCGTTCTACGGACATGAAGTTTGGACATTGAGTAGGGAGTTCCAAGATTCAGCTCAAGGCTACGGAAATGGCTCGTTTGAGTATAACTTGAAGTGCTTCCCACTCGAAGTGATTTAGAGCACATGCGTTTGCTTAAAAGAAACAAACAGTCTGAAGGTAGCCTCCATGTGGCCCTAAGATTGCTAAAGGAACAAAAGGATGCTTGACCCACTGTTCCTGACCCCTCCAACAAACATGGAAGTTGACAATCCCTGTTTGCACTATAGTCACTAGCAGAGGAAATTGTTTTTTTTTTTTTTTTTCCCAGGGAACAGCCTCCACTTCCATGATTGTTTCAGGGAGGGTAAGAACATTCGTTAACTCAACTCTTTCGGGCCTTTCGGGTGTCAATTCGTCGAGTCTGTTCTGTTGTGTCTTGAGTTGGGCAGTTCTTGAAAGACCTGTGATGCCAGTCGTGCTGTTTGTTCACATGCCAACACTCCGTTATTGCTTTTCTTTGGAGTCACCAGCCAGGCATTGGCTTGAGGATTTGTTCTTTACTTCGCTCAGATGTCGAGAAAGTGGATGAAGCGTGACCTGCTTGCATTTTTGAAGCCTGTTCACAAGACATGCCAAATACTGTACATCCAAACATAATCACTGCTAGTTCGTTCAGAAGGTTGGAGGCCATCGCTAGTAGGTTGACTTGAAGTTGACTTGATGAGTTCCGTCACTTTGGAAGGTTCGGATCTTGAAGGTGGAGGACTTGTCTCTCAACGGCCCGACGGCCTTGTACAGGTGCTTCTTTCCAAGAAAGATGTCACACTCGGAGCTCGTAGCAATTCAAGAAGCAAGGGCAAGTCACGTCCTTGCTTTCCAGCAATAAGTGCGTGGTTGTATGGATGTGTGCAGTTGTGAGAAACCTTCGTTACCTGTGCGGACATGCAAATCCGAACTGGCTGCAGCTTTGACACATAGTAACAAGAAGCTAGTAGTAACAAGTGCATCGCTACTAGTAACAAGTGCCTTACTAGTAGTAACAAGAAGCTTTGACACAATTGGTCGGAATTCTTTGGGCCAAAAGATTCGCTTCTTCAGCTGATGCTCAGTGAAGTTGAGGTCTTTGTGAAGAACCTTATGGGCACGGTCTTGCTTGTTGAATGGCACACATGGCATAAAATCTAGGACCTAGGAGGCTTTTGCCTTATGACGTCTGCCTCACAAGGTGGAAAGAGACTGTGGGGCCTTGGCTTTGGTTCATTGAAGTTGTCTCAGGTGGAGAAGCTGCCCTGAGGCCGGGATGCACATGGTACACCGAAGGGACTCTGGAGAACGCTCGCTAAACATCCACAGCATTCCATTCTCTGAGGTTTGGAACCGTGTTCTGGGATGTTCTAGGTGGATTTGTGACAAAGGCTGCTTTTGCCTCAAATCTGCATGTTTGCCATCAATCTTGATGTTCAACATTACGATCGCATGAGTAACATGAGGAAATGTCCATATCATTCTATATCTATATCTATATCTATCGATAAAAGTTCTATATTTATCTGAGTGTTTCCACAGGTATGAGCTACGATGAACAATTGTAGCCGTGCTGACCGTTGTCCACCAATCAGGTCCGACCGTGGCTCTGGAGCCAGTCATGTACAGGCGGACGGCTTTGTGATGTTCAGCCCGCGTTGGCTTTAAACCAGGCAAACAACTGATTACAGTAACTGAATCTATGCCTAGTTTAAATGCTCCATTGATCTTTGCCTCAAACTGTGTACTGAAGTGATCTGAAGTGCATGTGATCTACTATTTCAGAAAGACAAATGATCCAAGGCATTTGAAATGAGATTTGTTTGCCTGATTTTTTGCCCTTCTTGTTTGGTACAGATTCGAGCAAATTTGACTCGTCACAGGATGAGTTGGTTTCACGCCGGTGATTGAGGGCCAGCATATGCCAGCACATTGTGTTCACTTGGCATTGGAAGCGACAATGCTCATGAGTACCTAGATGCCTCGTGTTCCTGCCAAAATCCACATCGGAAAAGACAGCATTGTTCTTTGCTTCAAGGACATGAGATATGGTTCTCCTTTCAATATGACCAACAAAGCTCTCTTGGTCAGATCTTGCCCTCAGGGTCGTGCTTTCAATCATGACCGCCCCTCAAATTGTTTTCAGACCGGTTTCGCCTTCGCTGTCTTTGTCGCAGCAAAATGCTTGCCATTCAAATCCCTTAAACAACTAAGGAAATGTTGCGTTGATTGCTTCTCTTGGCTACAAGCCCACTCTTGTTGAATGGACCCATAGCCAATTCACAACATAGTGCGGACTTGAGGTGTTTATCTTCCACTTTCAATCAGCTGCTCTCTGCGCTTTCTGCGAAGATCTCCTCGAGCTCTGACTCACAATGACACCATCATTCATCATCCATGTGGTGGCCACGAGTTGAGAAGTACTGCGTTGTTCCCAGCAGATGTGGGTAGAAACGGGTAGCAAGGTGAATTCATAGACAGCTCATGTGGTCACTGCCAAACAAGCCAAGGGCTATAGGCCCACATGCGAATGATTTGAGCTAGGGCAATGGGCGACAGCACTGCTTGGGGGCCAAGCGAACAAGCTCTGACACGAAGACCCAGGTCTTTTTGAATCAATTTGATGCTTTTTGAACTTCTGCAGCCTTTCTTGCAGCCTTTATGCCTCCCAGGCCATCTCTTGTATGATGAGGCAGTGTCAGATCCTCAGCTTCAAAGAAACGACCTGGACCTGCCTTTTCCCAGATGTCTGATGTCGGCCTCCGGAGTCATCTTCAAGATGGGCATCCAACCGTTTAGCACGTCACTGAAGCGGTGGCTGCTTCTATCTTGGTGGTTTGCTTGACCGCCTGTCATGAACAGCAGAACCATCCCTCGGACGATGATCAGTTAAGGAATAAGGAGAGGTCACCCAGTTGATGCTGAGGTTTGCCCGAGGACACCTCTGGGAGTTCAGCTGGATCCAGGCGGGTCGTTTGCGGGGATCACCCTTTCTCGTGCACGGTGTACTCCAGACCTGAGCTCCAACATCTCTCTAGTTTCCTTGAATCCTGCACAGCAGCCAATGTGACTCTTTTGGCAATGTTTGCAGCACAAAGGGAACTTCGAGGATACGCAACCTTTGACAACAGCCTGACTTTTGCCTTGCTGTTCTTAAACATTTAACTTACCTGCTTTCTACTTTCATGTTTCATGATGTGATGCACCTTTCCCTTGTCCGATGTTCCTGGGATCACAAAGACTGGGCTTCCATGGCGGGTCTTCATACGACCAAGTGGGACTTAGGCTCAAGCGTCCCAGAGGAGACATTTGGTATATGATGCCATGCTGATGATTTAGCAACCTTAGTGGGCGAGTCGGCCCTTTTGAGCGTTTCAATTGAAGAAACTCATTGGACTATATTGGACGTATTCTTCCAATTATTCGACTCGCTCCAGTGCTTTAAGTGCTTTTAGGATTTGATTCCACCAGTCCTTTTGCACCTTTGGTCACCGAGCGCTTTGGGTGGAACTCTGATCTGCACAGCAATGTCGGAGGAGGGAGTTGACTCCCGGCCACTTGGACTGTCATGGGAAGTCTTTGGGTATGGTGGCCCCAAGTAGATACTGACTGAAAAATAGATATCCCTGGAAACTGAAAAGGGCGCCCAAGGCCATTTAAAGTTGCATTCACTTCTTTATATATGTTTATTTAGTAATATTTTGTATAAGGTATAGTGACCCATCCGAGGTAGAGAGGTGTATTAGCTAGAATTACGAGGTCAGACACGTGGGTTTAGGTGATTAAACTTTAAGGATAGGATACCCACCACCACCGCCACCACCACCACCACGACCTTTGTGTCCTGCAGCCCGACCTGCCGAGACAGCCAAAATGACAGCTTTACAGCCGAGGCAGAGAAAAAGCCTTTTCAACAGCACGATCAGCATTTAGCAGTCCGACCAGCGGAGTCAGCCAGGGGGATATTGGAAGGCAAAATCACAGCTTTGCAGCACCAGGAAATTTAAAGGGCAGCTCCAGCAACCCGACCAGCCGATACAGGCAAAGGGGCTTTTGAAAGAATCGCAGCTTTCCGCCCAAGGCAAAGCAGCGGCAGCTTGATGCTTCTTTTGCCAGCGAACCGTGAATGTTCTTTTTGCCGCCAGTTTTTGAGCCTTGAGAAGCAAACGAGGCAGAGGAAGACAAAGCTGAATCATCTCAGCCCACGCATCCAAGAAGAGCCACGGAAGCAGACTGACCACACCCCATCACGCAAGAGCAGCCATGGGAGACAAAGCAGAATCATTTCAGCCAGAACGGCCATGAAAAAACAAAGGGGAGCAAAGAGAGACAGAACATAATCATCTCAGCCCAGCATCCAGAGACAAAGTGGGATGCTGAACGTGTATATTTGGGGGGTCTCCCAAAGTCAACTTCAGTTGTCATCTCGATGAGGCCAAATGTCAGAAAACAATTGAGAACAATCTTTGTGATAGCCTTGGCTTCCTATCGTTTGAAACTGGGATGTCCGACTCCAATGCAAGGTTCTAAAGTGGGAAGATGGAGCAAAGCAATATGGTATGCCTGCACATGGTTGCCCTATTCAACAAAAACATATCAAAATCCTGCGGCGATGCTGCTCCGATCTCCCCCTGCTCAAGTCTAAAGTAAACACGTTCCCCCGCCACAATGGTTGTAAACAAGAAAAACCCGAAGGAACACCAACCAACCGAAACAACAACACTAAAACACAAACGGTCGCAACTTCTTGGGCCTTCATGGAAAAATCTTCCGACAGAAACTGTGTCAGCCATGTGCGCATGACCAAACGAATGAACGAGTCCGTCATCGTGTGAGGTCCGTGCGACCAAACCCTGTGCGAACCCCGTGTGTGCGTATGAAAACAAGCAATTTGAACAAACCCTGTCCACGTTTGTCAAGTACGAATATGTCAACGCTACATCACCACAAACATATCAGTAGGTCCCCTCCCACCCTGACCACCGAAACGCGACGCACGTGACAGGCGCAAGGGCGGTGTATCAGCCGCGCGCCAGAAACAACAGCTGTTTGTCCATCCGCGGCTCCCTGCCGACATCCCTAGGCAACCAAATGCAGCCGGTCATTTGTTTCGGTTGTTTTTTCGCCACCGGCACTTGGTTATCGCCACTGGCTATTTGGTTTCTGTTTTTTTTGACAAATGCAGTGCTTGGGGCCTCAAAACGAGCCAACCTTTACATTGATGTGGGGGTGCTTGGGGAGTTGTGTTTTGAGGCAGGCTCACATTGGATTTGGCACGTTCTGGGCATTCCTGCCTGATGCCTTTAATAACATCCTTTAACTTTTCAAAAGGACATCAGATGTTTCCATAGTCGAGGTCGAAGGCAGATGCCCCCCACAACGCCAACAGGAATATCAGATTGATATGAACGTCTGAACGACTTATAGACTATATGATGATTATATGATTTCATATTGGAACGTGTTCAGTTCTGTCCTCTAACACTGAAAACTGTGCGGGTCAGCAGCCACATCCGCAAGAACGAGGTTTCTACTGGAGGAGGTTCACCCGCAAACTCCAGATCCAAGGAGGTTCCGGTTCCGTGGGTTCCGAAGGTTGGGGTCAGCAGGTTCCAGATGCATGGTGTTTCAAAAAAGGACAATTATACAAAATCAATATGAGTCGATATTGTAGTAGGTCTCAGATGTTTTTCGTCAATGTTTTTTAGCTGTGTGTTTTGTTTTATCAACCATGACCAGATTTCATCAGCATCCTGTTTGATTGGTGCCGAGGCCATGCGCCTGCTCGCACGCGCTCGCGAGGTGGCCAGCAGAGTCCAAGTGGCGGTGCCCTCTAGGGCGCCTCAATCAGAGCCATTTGGCGCAAATTGATGGGGGATTTTTTAGGGGATAATATTGGATATTTGTGAATAGGGAAACCAGTTTGATGGTTTTCCTTTGTGTTTGTCAGGCTTGAAGTGGCACTGAGACGTGTCACGCACAGCGATTGTGCGGCCATCCCTCCAGAGGACAGCTTGAGATGGACAACTCGATGATCTGTTGAGCCAACCCAGAAGATGGACGGTCGCAAGAAGCCGAAAAGTATGTTGAAGGGAGTGATGTAGTATCCCATAGTCAAGGTCGAGTACTTTGAAAAGCACCATTTCTGTCCTCGTCGAAAAGCCTCAGCTATCTCGATCTTTGAGGATTTGAAGCTGGCCATAAATCTGATCGTGCAGAGTGAAGATGCCTTGGCAAAAGCCTTGCGCCATATACAGGCAGGTCTGGCCGTCAGGCGCACACAGACACACAAAAACATAACATGTCACATGCATGACATATGCCTTTGATCGTTCGTTTCGAACGAATCCAGGTGAACGTGGCTGCGCCTCCCAACGAATGGAGGCAACAGAAGGGGTTCTGCCTAGAGGATGGAGACATGTAGGCAACATTCAGAAGCCCAAAGCTTCCTGATAGCACAGTCTCACAGCAGTGCATCCCGCATCTTTCTTGTTGCAGGCACCCTAACCTCTCCGGTCCTTTCCTTTTTGCTTGGCTCACTGGAATTTCGCTTGGACACCTCGAGCAGCCGCCCAGTTGTATCCATTCCAGGCGCGTGAATGGTGCGCTGGCGCTCTTCGAAGCGCTGGCAGCACGAGGCAATGGCCTGGTGGGCAGGCCTGTGCCGTGAGGTAAAGGACGACCTGGAGATGCGGCTGCAGCATTGCCACAAAACCACCGACCAAAACCCCTCATGAACCATCATGAACCTCTCAAATGACTCTATATCCCCAAAACATTCCAAAACTATCCAAAAGATGTGATGGATTTGAATCCACAAATCCTCACCCATTCTTCACCAGTTTGTTAGTTTGAAGTTTGCAATGGGTTAAGTTGGACTTGCTCAGTCGCTTACTCCGAGTACCTTGTGGCAAAGGATATCAGGCCTCCTGCTTATAGAAACTATTCTTTTCTCCTTAATTTTTGCTTGTATTCGTCAGGGGCAAACCACACGGAGCTCTGGGGTTGGTAATAGATGGTAATAGGATGTAATAGGACAAGGAAGACATGATTATGGTCCGGCTTGTTGGTTCACTATCATTAATCGACGACATGGTTTGAGAAGCTGGGAGGTCCTGGTACGAAGTGAAGATGGAAGCGCGTTTGAAGGAGCTTCAAAACTTCTGTGCGCCTGGGTGGGTTGGCAGGGTGCGGAGGAAAAGCGAGGGCCGAGGTAGATCACCAGGCAAGTTTGAATTGTTCCGCTGAGAATTGCAATCAACAACAGAGCAACGCTTAATGTGCCAATGTGCTAGACATCTGACATCTTTCAATTTCCCACAGTTTTGCACCCCATGAGGAGAGTTGGAAGGATTCCCACAGTTTTGCCTTCATGCTGGTGAGACCATTGGAACTGCGAGGAGGATGAAATAGTGGGTCGTCCAAAACCTGCACCTCTCCAGATTCAGTTCTTCGAAGAAACCGGTGTTTCAAGGTTGCTAATCATGCTAATCTCACACAGCAGAACCCCAATTTCACAACACCTTATTCCGCAGACCAAACCCGAGTATGTCAAGTATTTCCTGCTCCATGAGTGTAGCAAACCACCCACCAAGCACGGCGTGTTCCTCACCGCGTTGGGCTTCGCTTCGCTTCCTTGGTCGCTTCTCGCCGCTTGAGGCCACGACGAGGACCCCCGGGTGGCCACGCTGATCCATCGGGCTGCCCAAGGGGCCATCCGGGCAGCGGACGCCCTGCACTGGTCCGACGGGGTGCTGGACGACGAGGCGTGGAGTTCCATTCATCGGTTCGGTTCGGCCAACGCGTCGATGGAAGCCTCAGATGTGGGCAGCCCGGAAATCGAAGGGCTTCCGTGAACAGGAAGAAGGAAGCAAAAGGGCAAAAGGAGGTCAACCAAAATCGTGTAGATTCAGGAAGTTGCGAAGTGATGTTGAAAGGTTTCTAGAGTTTCTTGGAGCTAGCCATTTGTAAGGCATGGGAAGGGAAGGATTATGAAGGATTGGAATGTGTACCAAAAGGGAGTCTTGTGATCCAAGTTTAAGACACTGTTGAATCGATATCCTTATTGTTTAAAAGCAGAATCTCTGAATCCCCAAGTCCCAAAGACCCATGAACTTGCAGAGCATTCCTGCCATTTTTGTAGCCAAACAGCGCGTAGGTGAAGCGACTCGGAAGTTGGGTCAAATCCAACGGGTTCCTCCGCGGAGTTTCCTTCAGCTTCCTCCATTGATCTTCCTCCAGGATCCAGAGGTTCATCGCGAAAGTGAGCTTCACTCCGCGCCGGAGTGTACCGGCCAAGGCAGACCAAACCGGCCAAGAAAGGAGAAACGCCCTTTGCAATGAAAACCTTAATGAGATTTCATGAGCGCTTAACTATCATTTTTGTGAAAACCGTTTGGGTGACCAATTTTTGTGTCATTGGTGCATGTTATTCTCCAGAATTTGGGAAGCGACTTCAGCACCGTGTGCAGATGGTTGCCCAACCTCAGTGGTTGACTTGTGCTCCCTCGCAGGCAGCAACGTGAAGCCATCCGTCATCGGCAAGTGTGACGACGCGAAATCTGGCTCGACCACGCCACACACGCCACGCACACCCACTACACCAACAGCAGCTCGAGCTGGGACTGGACGAGAACAATCGCAGCATTTGGTGGTGGGGCGTTGATGTGTCGGGGGCATCCAGGAAAGTTGGATTGGCGGTGGTCGGCATACTTTCTTTCCATCAGTGCAGTGCTTCATTGGAGATGCCTTTTGACATGGCAAATACTGGTTGCTCTCCTACGTTCTTGTTCCGTTTTGTCATGGAACACTACCTACGTTTTGTCATGTGTCTCAGGACCTAGACACCCTTCTGATTCAGAATGCATAGAATAGCACACATGCTCCATACGGTGGTGTAAGATATTGAGTGTACTGGAACGGCTTGCCTCAACCCGAATCGATTAGTGTCCACAGCCAAGAGCATGTCCACTGAGGATATGCCAAAGGAGGCGACATACGTTCGCTGCTGCTGCTGTTGTTGGCGTCGTGTGCAGGCAAAGGCTTGTCATGATCGAGCTTTTGGATTTTTTTAAATAAGTCTTTTTGTGCTTTGAGTTCTCGTGGGTCTTTGAGAGGCGGAAGCATGGTGCAGGTCATGTCCAGGTAAGAAAACCCATATGTTATGTTCTGTAAAGGTTAAGTAGTAAAGAAGTCAATGTATGATCAAAACGCCTTTCTTACTACCTTGTCTTTGCTGTTCTTTAGTTTAGCATTGTCCTCTCACACGAGGGGATTCTTTGGACTTCCATCAGCTACCTAAGCTGATGGCACTGTAAGACCAATAGCTTAAGCATGCTGTGAGAATGTGAGGTGCTGTTGCAATGTTTCACACAGTAGTCGGAGATACAGTAATTTCACTCACTGGGGCATCCATCAGACATGAGTGCAAGTGTAGCTGTATATACTCGTACACAAAACTATAGATAAGATAGTAAAACACTTAATCCCTATATGAGAGCTAACGTTTCACATGGCTTCGCTCACGGGCAGATTTCCCGTCTTGGCGAGCCTGAGGCTGAAGCGACCGGTGATGAGGAAGAAAATTCCTTGCTCCGCTAAGACTCGTCGCTTGTGAAACTGCAAACAGCTGAGAAAAAGACAAACAAGTGGCAATGCGGCTGGCAGCTCACGTGCCTGGAGCGGCCAGTTTCTCTTGCTGTTGACCGTTGACCCTTTTCCCATCCTCAGGTTTTCCATGGTTAAGTGTCCCTAAACATCTAGGAACCAAATCATTAGCGCGAGCTATCCTTCGTCCTAAGTAGTAGCTATTTAAACTACTAGCTACCTCTCCCTTACTTATATAATTAAGAAGGTGCCTACTTAATTAAGTAGGGAGGGGGGGGAGCGGTCTAAAACAACTAAAACACAATTCCTGATCTCTTGGACTCTTGAGAAGTTCCGATGAGTCGAGTTGGGAGAGGCTTTGCTATACCCTGGCTGAAGGCAAGGAATCCTTTGCACAATGTCAGGCAACCAAGTTGACGCATGTTGACACACTGGAGTTGACACACTTTCAGATCTTTCAGGGACGAAGAACTCCAAGAGACTTTGCACCATGCCTTATATAAGATGTTTTGATGTCAATTTCATGTCATGTATCATTGAAACATCACATGCCAAAGGAGTAGGTGGGCACGTGTCTTTACTTTTTCTAAACTATCTCGAGCTTGTACCAACCTTTACTCTCCCAAAAACTGTTCCAACACTCTCTGAGCTAGAGATAAGCCTCCTTGATCGGCGATGTTTGGCAGTTTTTGGATCGTGTGGTTGCACCATTTTTTGACAGACCAATTAGATTGGAACATCTTGGAACCTTCGAGCTCGTAAGCTCATAAACTTTTTCTACGCTATAGGCTACTTAGTAATGTACTTAGCAGACTTGGATCTTAACTACCCCATGGCTACGAACGCTTCTTCAAGCACTTGCTTTGATGCTGGGGCTTAGGGAAACATTGGTATGGCATGGCATGGGAGGAATTTATTACTAAAATGTCCCATGCTGTGAAGAATCCATCCTTATTACTCCAATGCAGCGTTCTAAGGCCCGGAGACGGAGCCCTCCTGCAGCCCATGTCAGTGCGAAGCTCAAAACGAAGCTTGTGACCTGCAGGACACAAGGTCCTTAGTAGTGACTCGTGAGACTCATGACTGCCATGACTCCAGTTTGGATGAAGCAATGAAGCACATATGTGCACCAACGGACTTTTATTGGTCAAACCAGAATTGATCGACGCTCATGAAGTTGGCACGGCCCGCTTGTGGCCGACAGATCTGACACCACAAAGTCAATTTGGCAGCACCCCTCTTGCTGACGCAAGACTATTCCAAAAGCACACAAAACCTAGTTGCAGTGCCTTTGCTTTTGAGTGAGCACAAACTGATCAACTGACCTTTGGCTTACTTTCGCAATCCAGACCAACAAAGATCAACAGCCGCTGAGCCATCGCTTGAATCAGGACGGTACCGCCTTGTGAGAGCTTCTGTGAGGCGATGGGAATCGGCAGATTCAGCTGCCTGCTTTTGCAGATTAAAGGGACCCTCAGATTCATTCAGGAGTTGAAAAGGATTCAATAAAGAACAAGTTAATTTGCCTCCTTCTTCGCCTTCGACGAAGCCTGGGCATGTGGAAAAACATATGAACACATATTTTATCATATTTCTCCCTTTTCGGCCATGAAGGATTATGAAACCGCTTCATAGGCGCCAGTTCGCTCGGAACTGCCCTTGGGCTCGGGTAGCTCAGAGTTTGCTGGGTGAAGCGGAAAAAGATGCGGTTCGCCCGCTTGGAGGTGTACTCGTTTGGTTTGGGTTCCCTTTGAGCCATCACTCAGCATTGTCTTTTTGTAAAACGAGGCTAACGGCAAAATCCAGGTTTGATGGTTAGTGTCTAGTAGAGGATTGACTCAAAGGTGTTTCCTGAATTCTGAATACATCTGAATATGTATTTGATCATATTCCGCCAGGTGAAGCCTCATTGCTGATCTCCCCCCTTTGCTGTGTTTGATGGAGTTTAGCAAACCTCCCTGTCAGGAACTCCTGTGAAACCTTTCAGGAGGCCCATTTCTTCTGGCCAACCGCCTCTCTGGTGCGTGCCGTCCTTCCCACTTTCAATCACTCTGTTGACAAAAACAGTGAGGTTCGGCCTGCCATTTGGATCGCCAGTGCCTGACGTCCCAGCCAGACTAGACCGAAGCCGGAGGTTTCGCCAGGTTTTGTCCACAATGAGAGCTTTTGAGGGCAATGTTGGAAAATGCATGTCACACGGGACAGGCGTGAGTGGCATTGAGAAGCTTCGGGTCCTTATTTTTGGCCTCGCCAGCCCGTGCCCGCCCGGGTTTGCACCTTTTATTAAAAAAAACATAGGAAGAGGCCATTTTTGGGGCCAATCAGATCGGCTTATTTTGTGATCGCAGATCTGACCGGGAAGGAGTATGAAGGGAGCCTCCCAACGGGTCAAGTCAACCCCCACATCAAACCAGCGGTCGCCGACCAGGTCACCGACACGATGACAGAGACATACCAGACTGTTCCCAGATGTTTCCACGATACATTGGAAGGGCTACGAAGGGCAGCTACCTTGGGAGAGTGAAACGATCTACGATGGGATGTAGATCGTATTGTCTTCAGTATCGTTTCACCCTGACATCGTAGCGGATCTACCAAGGTGGGGGTGACCCCCTGGCAGCATGTCACGTAGGGATTTGCCGACGCCTACTCTGGGCTGGTTGGGAGCCCTAGCAGTTGATCCTGCCTGCTGTTGTCGGACAGACAATGTACCCCCAAGCAGCAGGGTGATATAGTGGGGAGTAAGTCACCTTGGCATGCCAAAAGTTTATAGAGCCGATCATAATCATGGCTATGACCTGCATGTTCCTCTGGTCCCTTTGCCTCTTTCTACATTGGATCCTTAATTTTAATACGTCGCAGTACATCGCAGCACCAAAAAATCACGCCTTGATCAAGCTGGTTGTGATCTAATTTGCCTCTCCCAATGAGTCCAGTTGCCGCCAACTTGGGACACATGTAGAAGCCATCCAAGTGACTCAAATTACATATTGGAGGTCGTGATGGTTGTGCCATGACATGAAATCTTTGCTGACCGGATATGAGACCACTTGGATTCACTGGTGCTACTGTAAATGCTGTTGTGCTTCTTGTGGTGCAAGGCCAAAGATGCGGCAATGCCGATGGTCATGATCGTTGCATCTATGGAGGTCTGAGTCTAGGAGCGTCTTTTTCCACACGCCATGATGCTTATTGCTATTATTCAAATTATACTATACATATCTATACATACATTATGTTGTTCTTTTTTTTAAATGTTTTTACAACAACAAGCAATGCTGAGACAATGTTCGGATGGCCTTGGGCGTCGCTCAGAGCTCACGAAGGTGAGAGATGCACTGACGGCAGGTGTGTAGGCGCGGTTCGTTCGCTGCGATATGCCGATGAGATGAGCCACCATAGGGAAGTGAAACTGAATGGAGGGACATTGAGGTGTCTTTATGAGTGAGGCTTACATTTACAAGTTTCAAATAATCTATGCTGATAGCTCCACTAATTACCATGAGTCGTACAATGTTTATTAAATGGATGATCAATGATCCCTTTGCACATGATAAGCGCGTTGTGCCACTATGAATGTTTATCAGATGTGTATCATGAATCTAGTCGTGCTCAATCTGTCACTCTAGATGATCTCCAGGCTTTGGCACAAATGTGGCCTGCTGGGATGGGTTTGGAGCACCAAGTTACCACAGGATGGTTGTGGATCTGCGACAAACTCCAACGGTCTTTGGACCTGTCTTGTGTCAGATGATGCGAACGTATGAGGTCATCCGACATGTATCCATCCTGCTATGGATATCGACAGTATTCAGACTGTATTCTTTAAGTCTAGAGTCTCTAGCATTTGAGAATGGAACTTCGAGATTAGGCAGCACCATGTGACAGGGCATCGATGGGAATCGGAATTAAACCATGCGAACCATCAAACACTCTCCAAAAACCCTATCGAAGCATCTGAAATCAACATACAAAAGTAACATCAAAGCATAAACACACACACAAAGACATAAAGATCGTCAAGTGGGAGCGCTTCTTTCTGCTGGAAAACAAGCAGTTTTAACACCGGCGCACCGGCGTGGCGTCTCATGGCGTCTCTCCGAGCCGGTGAGGTACAGGGAGGGCCGGGACCTGGATTGTCACAAGGGCTGGTGTGAGCCTCAGTCGACCTATCTCGACGGGGACCGTCCTTAGCTCGTCTCGTTGTACCGACACCAAGGAAAGAAGATTAAATATGGACACTGAAGGAAGGATGTTTGGATCCCACGTCCTCTTGCTTCTTTGCACTCCATTGATCTTGGTGAAACTTCAGAAAAGATAGCGAAATGGCGAAAGAAAGCAACTTATGGTGGAGTGGATGGTTAGTCAGACAAGAGTGTGACATGTTGACACGGGCCGCCCCTGACAGATCTGAGTGATCTCCGTCTCCCACAGATCTGCAGGTACTGCTTGCGGTCACTTTGTGTGTTTTGATCTGAGCGGTGGAAGGACCAGTTGGCTGTGGAACATCTGTATGTTGGAACCTGGGAAAACAGCCTCCACAAGGAGTGTAACAGTTGTGGTCACCAAATGCAGAAGAAGGAAGCTAAACTGATGAGACTGACCAAATTTGTTGTGTGAAGGTTCTGGTAGATGTACAAGCAGTTGAGAATTGTTCAGATCCTGTGCTTGGCTCACTTGTCCGGACGCTTTACATTGCTTTAGGATGCTTTGGATTGCTATCGACCAAGTGGACCTTTGACCTACTGAGGCCACAGCTGCCACG